ACGAGCAATGTCGACAACCTCATCAAAAGTAGCACCAGACACTGTATCTCTCTCTGGTCATAAGTAATCGCAATTGAAAAGTGAGGCCATCTATAAACCTTCTGATCCTCTCCCTGTCTGTGGGAACCAACCAGATAGCATGACGGGCCAACTCCGAGAATCGTATCTCATACTGCATCACAGACATATCACCCTAACGAAGTTACTCGAACTGCATGTGTAGCTCCTCTCTGTGGGACTGTGGCACGAACTTCTCCAGGAATAGATCGGAGAACTGCTGCCACGTAAGGGGTGTTGCGCCAACCGGTCTACGCCTCTCGTAATCCTCCCACCAGCGGAAGGCATCCCCAGAGAACTGAAAAGTAGTGAACGATACCCCACTGGCCTCTAGAATACATGTTGTACGGAGTATCCTCTGACATCTGTCCAAGAAACCCTATGCATCCTCTCCCTCTGCACCACTGAAAGATGGAGGCTGGAGTCTCCCAAACCTCTCCAATCTACGCTGCTCATCCTCAGGCTTAGCAGGAACCACATAGTCCTGAGCAGATGTAATCGGCTGGGCTGGTGGTGCCCCCGGTGTCTGGAATCACTGTACCACCTGCTCTGGTGTGCGGGCAGCGGGAGTCTGAGCACCTCCCCCGGCCTAAGAAGTGGATGCTGTGGCCGGAACAGAGACCGCCTGAGCAAGACTGGTACACGCGGTCAGAATCTGAGCTAAGGCCTCCTGAAGGCGTGGAATCACGATAGGCACAAGTGGTGCCTGAGCTGGTGCATCAACAACTGAAATTTGATCCTGATCTGGGGCAACTGGTGGATCTGCAGGTACTGCCCCAGCTGTTGTGCGGACTGCACCTCTTCCCTTACCACGGCCTCTACCGCGGCCTTGGCCTCTCGGGGCCATGGCTGGTGATACTGGTGGCTGCCCATCCTGCCCAGTAGTACGAGTCCTTACCATCTGTGAGAGAATGAAACAATAAATGTTTAGTTACTAGAATCAACAGATTTGCACGACAAGAATTCAATAATGTGAAGTTTCCTAAGGGTTCGGCAGCCTCTCGAAGATAAGTACGGATGTCTCCATACCGATCTGCAAGACTCTACTAAACCTGCTCATGACTCATGAGACCTATGTAACCTAGGCTCTGATACCAACTTGTCACGACCCAAAACCTAACCCGTCGTGATGGCGCCTATCGTGCTACTAGGCAAGCCGACCTTTCCAAAACACTTTCAAAATTTAACAGGAATGAATAAAAACATTTAAAATAACATGAGTTTTTCATAAAATAGGGGTAAAACCCAATTAAAATATAAGTGCGGAAAAATAGCCCGACATCGGGGTGTCACTAAGTCATGAGCATCTAACAGTTAATCTAGAAAACAGAGTCTACTACAGTATGTGTCAAATGTCAATACAAGAGAGAAAAGATAATAAGGAAGGAGAAACAAGGACTGCGGACGTCGGCAGCTACCTCGTAAGTCTCTGATAGTAAGCTCGCGCACGAACTCAGCGACCGCCAGAACCGTACACACCTGGATCTGCACATGAAGTGCAAGGTGTAGCATGAGTACAACCAAGTCAGCAAGTAATAGAATTAAATAAGGTACTGAGAAGCAGTGATGAGCTATAAAAATACAGTTCATTTCAAAAGTTTTCAGTAAAGAGTGAACATGCTTTCAAATCCGGTGGTGTAAATCAAATCAGTTCGAGCTCAAGTAAAACAGATATGAATCTTACAGAAATTTCACCACAACAACAGATAACAACTAAGTGCAATAATAAATAAAAGCAAGTACAGCCTCTCAAGGCAGCAGTCACTCAACTCATCTTAACAGCTCATACTCTCAGCTCTCAGCCCTCAATACATACTCTCAATAGGTACCTGCATTTATTGGGGATGTGCAGACTCCGGAGGGGCTCCTTTCAGCCCAAGCGCTATATCGTTACGGCGTGCAGCCCGACCCAATCATAGAAGTAGCCATAAGGCTCGTAGCGGCGTGCAACCCGATCCACAATCCATAAATAGCCATAAGGCTCGTTGCGGCGTACAACCCGATCCATATAACCTCACATAGCTCGCCACTCAGGCCCAATCTCAGTCACTAATCTCTCCATCCCCTCAGACTCACAGAATATCATCATGATCAGCCCAAACAGAAAATACAACAAGTATCAACAAAAACTGAGAGGGAAGAGAGATGTAACACACAAGTAAGACTGTGACTGAGTACAAGACATCAATTAGCAGTCAATTCAATAACTATACGACCGATGCGGGTCTCAACAGTGGTATCATATGGCCTAAGCATGGTTTCTAACATGAAAGGCAGTCAACTGCTCAAAGACAAGGAAAAACAAGTAATAACAATGGCTATTCGACTTTAAAGTCTCACGGGACGGACCAAGTCATAATCCCTTGTGGTGCACGCTCACACGCCCGTCATCTAGTATGTGCGTCACCTCCAAACACTCACATCGTATCAATTCTCGGGGTTCCATACCCTCAAAACCAGATTTAAGACTCTTACTTACCTCAAACCGAACAAATCTCTGCTCTGAAATGCCTTTTCCTCTCAAATCGGTCTCCAAACATCCCGAATCTAGACACAAGTAGAACAATACAATCAATATAGGCTGAAACGATCAATTCCACAAGAAAAGTACTAAATTATAGCCAAAAAATCCAAAATTGGCTAGAACCCGGCTCCCAGGCTCACGTCTCGAAATCCAAAAAAAAGTCACAAAACCCGAAAGCCCATTCATTCACGTGTCTAACCATACCAAATGTACTCAAATCCGATAATAAAATCACATGCAAATCATCAAAATCCCAACTCAAGAGTTCTTCCTCTTTTTCCCCAATTTCTCACCCCAAATCACAAATTAGATGATAAAATTAAAGATAAAATCATGTGATTTAACCAAAACCAAGTAAGAATCATTTACCCCAATCAACTCCACGAAAATCCCTTCAAGAATCGCACAATTCCGTGTTCTCTGGCTCAAAATATGTAAAATGGGTTCAAATCCTCGTTTTTGAAATTAATACTGCCTATCCAGATATCCTTTTGCGATCGCGGAACATTCCTCGCGATCGCGAAGCACAACTATGATGCCCCACATTTTTACCCTACGCGATCGCGAAATTACCCACGCAATCGCGGATCACTGCCTCTCATACCTACGCGATCGCATCCTGCCTCACGCGATCGCATAGAGCATTGGCCACACCTCCCCTCCTGCTCAAATCTTTCTACGCGAACGCGATCTTAGCCATGCGTTCGCGAAGCACATCTTCGCACACATATGCGATCGCGTTCCTAACTCTACGATCGCATAGAACAAGCTCACATCTGCCCCAAATTAGCTTACGCGATCGCGAATGAATACTGGCGATCGCGAACAAGGAAACCAGAACCTGCTGAAACCAGAATTTCAGCTATCAAGCCAAGTCCAAAAATGATCCGTTAAGCATCTAAAACTCACCCGAGGTTCCCGGGACCTCAACCAAATATACCAATCAATCCTAAAATACCATACGAATTTAGTCGAGCCTTCGAATCACTCAAAACAACATCAAAACACCAATTACACCCTGATTCAAGCCTAAAGAACTTCTAAACTTTCAAATTTCACAAACGACGCCGAAACCTACAAACCACGTTCGATTGACCTCAAAATTTGCGCACAAGTCAAATTCGACTTTCGCCATTTCAAGCCTAAATTAGCTACAAACCTCAAATTCACAGTCCGGACACGCTCCTAAGTCCAAAACTACCCAACAGAGCTAACGGAACCGACGGAACTCCTTTCTGGAGTCGTCTTCACACACTTCCGACTACAATCAAAATTCTAAGACTTAAGCTTCCGTTTTAGGGACTAAGTGTCCCAAAACACTTCGAAATCAAAAACAAGGCCTCCCGGCAAGTCACATAAGAAGAAACAGATACGGAAAAAACAGTAAATAGAGGGTCGGGGCTAATACACTCAAAACGACCGGCCGGGTCGTTACACTTGAATATGACCAGAATTCTTCGTGGTTCGGGTCTACTTACATACGTCGAGCGGCTCAAGCCATAGCCCGAAAGCACGGGGTATTTACATTGATGAAACTTATTTTCTTTGATTTGTTGACCTCTAATCCTTACGACACTTTCTCAACATTTTTTAAACTTAGCATAATCACTTATAACCTCAAAAATAATCGTGTCCTTGAACTTATGTCCATTAACTTACGACAAATCAAACATACAAAAGTACGGGAGGTAACAAAAGGCAAGCTGGCCTGATTTCCTTGAATTATCACGCTATATAACATTTTAAAAGCATTGCATGGCACACGTTCAAAAAGTCAACTCTTCTAAAAAAAACATTCCTGGTGTTAATTGGTATTATGAATCATTAAAATATTAAAATATCGTCGGATATGGCTTCCACGACATCAATTAGCTCACTATCCCCAGCCTTCATAACACAATGTTCACGTATTCTTGTTTTTTTTTTTCAAAATATAAAAAGAAGTTAAGGATAATGTTGTTTTGGGTACGTAGACTTCACATCACAAAAGACACAACGTTACACGCCTGACGCCATCACGTCGAGAATGAACATTCCATCTACCGAATGGAAAAAAAGAAAAAGAAAAAGAAAAAAAGCACTCCATCCTTTTTCACATGTTATAATATTTTTTAAACGTTCTAATAGATTGAAAGTTTAATATCCATGTGAGACAAGAACAGAACGTTGTGAAGTGGCTAATATGAAAATTAAAGCAATCATTTCTCCAGTTAACTACAGATCGGAAAATATTAAAAAGAAATAAAGAAAGGTTAAAAAAAATATTACTTCTCTTGTTTGAGGTTTTCTAAGTTAACGTTTTCTAAGTTAACGTTTTAACTTTTAACCACTAAAACTAAAACGGAAAAAAAAAATTAAAAAAAAAGGAAGCTTTATGTTAAATACTGAGCAATTGACCTTGGAAGAAAACGTCTATATCCTTTTTTCTACTAAATGGATTGAATACATTCTAATTTATGACAATTGCTTCGCTCCGCATTGCTCTATATACAAATGAGAAAGAAATGAGAGGCCTATTTTTAAATTTTTAATAGATCTATTGATGCACTTTGCGAAGAAAAAGAAAAGGAAGCCTAAATTAAGCTTGGCATTTCAATTTTGGTAGCATGTTATCGATTAGCCATCTTGCCAACCATTTGTAGGCTTGTTGTGTCAAATGAATTCCGTCCCAACTGATGTAAGTACTAGGGTCGGTACAAATTTGCAGTCCTGGAGCTCCACATATTCTATTTTTGTCGTAATTATATTTTTCTCCTATTCCACAACAAGCTTTCAGTAGAGAGTTTTTGTCAAAACCTGCACATTTCAATCAAAATAAATGTAATTGCATGAGATATTCTACTGGGGTGGATTTACACGTATTGTATTGAAAGGAGTTCATGTTAATCGTTTATCCTTATTTTCTTACCATATTTGGTTTTTTTATCTCTTGAAGGAAGGGCAACATATTTACCATAATTGGTTTTACATTTTACAAAAATAAAAATATAATTCTTCCATATTTGGATAGTCTTTTTTCTTGGAGGAAAAAATATTTTAGACTTCTATAAATTGAGGATCCTTCCTTCTTATTTAGCAGCATCCACAACGTAGTCCATAAGGGATTTGAGAGTCTTGTTTAGGGGAGAGTTTTTGTGAGACAAGTGTTATGTTGTTACTTGTGTGTGCCTCTTTGTGAGGTTGTTCTCTCGATATGTTGTACTCTCTTTTATATAGTTGATTGCTCATCTGCACCTGTGGACGTAGCTCAATTGACCGAACCATGTTAAATGTTTGTGTTTCTTTTGGTATATTTCTCTTCTGTTGTCTAATTTATCGTCGTTGAAAGTTTGCTTTACTAGCTTCCGTATGACACCTAATCATTTCGATATATAGTTTAATTGACTTCCCTTTAGAAAATTATACCACGCAATATATAACTTGTTGAACCCCTTGACATAAGGGAAGTCTATAACACATGTTTAAATCTCGTGCGTCGTATTCTTACATTTTTCTAACTCTTTTGTTAGAATTGTTGGCTCTGGCAACCGCCACTGTTTTAGTTTCTTGATCACTTTGGTGTTACTTTCTCAAATGTTATTGCATTTTACGAACTTTATTTTTGGAGAGTGCAGATTGATCATTTCAATAAGGGTGCTCGGGACGAAAAATGGGTGGAAAAGGAATCAATTTATCAAAAGAAAAAAAAATGTTATGTGGACAAATTCTTGTTAAAAGAAAATAAACTAAGGTTAAAAATAGAAAGAATGTTATTTTGAGTACTTACCAAGATTTGCGGCATTTTGTAGAAGCCAGAGATAGGCATTGTAGTAGTCACCATAAACCAATGTAATATTTGGATGTCCTTTCTTCAGCTCTTGAATGGCTTTTTGCAAATGATGATTGTAGAGAATTGCCAAGTCATTTAGATCTTTCAAGCAATGATTATCATCGTACGCAGTTGAATTATTGGTCAAAAACGTTGTTAGCAAATTTGGTATACAACCAATTGGGAAATTTCCAGGAATGACAATTCGGACAGCTCCAAACCCAATGATAGTCTGAAAGAGGTAATGAATTAATTAGCAAAATGTTTCTAATCAAAGGCAACTAAAATGTCTTTCTATTAATGCTTGTGATACTGTACTAGTGGTAAAAATTAGATAACTTGTACCCGAAATAGTTATAAATCAAGTTAATTTAACTCTAAAGAGAAACATATAAATCAAGTTAATTTAACTCTAAAGAGAAACATCAGTCTCAAATTGAGATGAAAAATATACATATGGATCCAATAGATTTTTGTGGTCCGGCCCTTTCCCGGACCTTGCGCATAGCATAAGCTTAGTACATCGGACTGCCTTTTTAAGTGTTATAATTTATGCGAAATACATATATCATGCATTTATTGATTTGCTGCAAATATTGGTGAGTAGACATAAACATTGATACTCGTGATTATTTGTCGAAGGCAACCAAACATCTTTCGTGAGTTTCACATACTAAAAACAGAGAAAATGGAAAGCATACTTTAACAGCATTGATAATGGTCTGAACAACTTCAGGGACCATAGCTCTAAGTTCCTCCATTGGTTTACCTTGCAATAAACCATAATTAAACTCATTTCCTCCTATTTCTCCAACCAGGAAAAGTGCCTTCTTTAGGTCTTCTGAGCATTCTAGCAAAGACAAAAGAAAATAAATAAGTAAAAACAAAAAACACTATTCTGTAATTAATGAATGACCAAACAATATCGTTTCCTTTTAAAAAAAATTCGAAAATATAATTACCAGTAGAGCAAGTGGATTTGAAATGAGAAGACATCCAATCAAGTTGCACATTTAATGAACTATTGGTTACTGAATTAGAAATCTTCTTCTCAGCCATGATTTCACCTGGCAAAACAGTAGCTCCTGCTACTGCGAAATTTGCACCATGTGTGAAATTTCCATTCTGATCCTTGTAGGGATTTAGGAAAGGAAGACCACATTCCAATGCTGTATAATAAGATAGCTTCAAATATCCATTAAAAAGTGTGACATATAGTCATTGACATTAAATAACTAAATGTAATTATTAGGTCAGCTAAGAAAAAATCATCAATAAAAATAGTGATCTTTCACTTTATTATGACTTTACTAATACAACGGGTAAAGTTCAGCGCATGAAATTAACCCCAAATTCAAGGCCAGTTAACTTTACAAGAAAATGGAAAATCCTAGATACACAACTTCAAGAAATTAATAATGTCAAATTTTAGCCCTTCTTGACCTAGTCTATCTCAGTCCAAGAAACTTTTAGGCTGATCAATGATCCGTCCATTTATTGACTCATTCTATTTTGACCCGTCCAAAATCAACCTAATCCGCCCATTTGACACCCCTATGCGTACCTATGAAATCGATCATGAGCAAACCATCAGAACATCGTCCAGTTGATTTGTTCTGGAAAAAGTTTTCACCATAAGGAAGTTTTGCAAAGGGAGAAAAAGCTCCAACGAGGCTCTCTCTAATGAAGTTGCCAGTATCAGAAAGTGAGTCACCCAACTGATATATTTTGTCAAACTTGCATTTCATCAATGTTGGAACTTGAGGGATTAGCACTTGAGCATCAGTTTTCTGCAAAAATTGTAAAAGAACCAAGAAACTGACTATGGAAAGAACTCGTAAGAGATCAAGCACTCTAATGGTCAATGCCATAGCTCAAATTTTGATGAAAAATATTTAGGAGTATGGACCTAATTATAACTACTACATGCACTTTGTCAAAAACTAAATAGTAAACAAACAAAATCTATCAAGTGATATTTATGTGTGCATCTAACAAGGCAGCTATATTATATTATGCTGAGTGAAGTGTACGTATTGCTAAATTCCTGTTTCGATGACCAACTCTTTTGTTATTCGGTCCTTGTTTGCGTCGTTAGTATTTTACCGGATACTGGCTCCTCTTACCATTACCTATATCAAGTAACTCTGCTTACCGATACTTAAAAAAATATCAACGGCCATTTCTTTTCTTTTTTTTCCTACTAAACTCTGAAAAAACATCATTGCGCCATTATTTACATATGCCACCCTCAACTAATGATTCGTGTCACGATCCAGAATTCTCACCCTCAAGACCGTGATGGCGCCTAACATTTCATTTGCTAGTTATTAACCATTTTTAATAATTCAAATCAAATGAAAATCAATAAACTAAATAAACTTAAATGAAGTAGATAAATCTGATGCACGACGATATCCAGATACAAATTCCAAGACTGGTGTCACGAATACACGAGCGTCTAGAGTACTACAAATAATAGTCTGAATGAAAGCATAACTGTTTGAATTGAAATAAACAACTAGAGTAATGTAGAAGGAGACTTCAGGGCTGCGAACGCTGTGCACCTGTACCTCAAGTCTCCGTCAAGCACCGGATCCGAGCAATCTACTAACCGCCGCTAGGACCGACTCCAAAATATGCACAAGAAGTGCAGAGTGTAGTAACCGACCCCATGTACTCTGTAAGTGCCGAGCCTAACCTCGACGAAGTAGTGGCGAGGCTAAGGCGGGTCACCTAAAATAACCTCTACGCAGTAATAATAATAACAACGGGGAAGGAAACAGGATATGATGGTAAAATAGTTAATTTATGATAATGAGCTCAATCCTCGCACACATAGACTCCAGAATATCTGACCTCAAAATATCATATAAAAAGGCTGAAAACTAACACAATAACACAATGAGTACAACATACACAATCCGTTGCGGTGCACAACCCGATCCCATAGTACACACGCAATCCTCCCTTATTTCATCATAACATCATTTATCACTGATGGTAGGCTAGAAATATAAATTTTTGGCTACTTTACACCTATTATTTAATACACTTTAATTGTGTTTAAGCTAAAATATAGTCAATTTATACTCATTGCGTGTTTTCTGTTATGTAGGTTCAGATTTCGGGTCAAGACTTAGAGCTAAAAGAGAATAAAAAAAAGAATTTTAAAATCTGAGTAGAAGTTTGAGAGTTAAGTCGGAATCGAGTTCGGGTGTCAAGGACCCGGTGCACATATAAAATAATAGAAGAAAAAGACAGAAGTGCATTAGAAGCTTAAAGTTTCAACCCCTCTGAAAAGTGGCACTAACACATCATGTGTTAGGCCTTGGTAAACGATGGGATAACCCATTTTTTGTCTCTTGGCGAGAACAAGGAAGCGTGCGTTCTTTTGGTTAAGCTTCAAAAAAGTTCCACTAATGCGGCTCGCAGTGCGTCGCAATGGACGACACACTAATGTAATTTTTCGCCCAGTTAATTCTAATTCGGCTCATAGAGAGTATTTTAGTCCAGGTCCATCCATACTCGATATAAATACATTGTAAAAATACTTTTTTTTATAGGATATTCGACCTAGGAGAGTTTTGGAGAGCTACCACGGCTTAAAGACACAAAATTTCATCAATTCTCTTGCCAACAATCGGTGCAAAAATGAGAGTTTGTATTGTAAAGTTGTCTTTGATGTTTTCTATATTCTTAAACTTATTTGTGATGATTTTCTCCATATCTATGGAGTAGTTCTTTCCCTAGGGTTTCGACGGATATGGTATTTTAATTGATATTTGTGGATTTAACTCTAGTTTAATTGTGTGATTACGTTTATGGAGCTTTGAATTATTTGCAACTTTACTCGCCGGTTTATTTAATCGAAAGAGGAATATTTTGGTGATTATCTTTGCATTATTTGGTTCGGTTTAATTTAGTGATTCTTCTAAGTAATCGAGAGAGCTTTATGAATTGTTGATTAAGCCAAGTTAGGAGAATATTCGAGAGATGTTTTCCTAAACACTAGTCCATTAATGTATTCTTGCATATCTTCACAGTGCTTCATATTAGTTTATTTTGTAGAGTTCATATTTAATTGAGAGAGGAATCTTTAACCTTACGTTTAAGCTAATCATCGAGCGAATTCGTGAAAATCATTAGAACATTAGAAGTGAATTTAAACAGAGTTAAATCTCGAATAGCTATCGTACACCTATCATGTCGCAACCCTTAATTCTCATATTGTTTACAACCCGTAAGTTCAACTCTCTTCTCTGTGATTAGGTCTAATTACTAGTAATCTTAATTTAGTAGTTAATTATAGCAGTAATCACTCGAAATCAAGTGTTGATCATCCTGAATAGCAAATAAGCCAGAAATTACTCGAATATTATTTAAATCCAATCCATGTGGAGACGATAATTAAAATATACTATCTTTGGCTAGCGAGCATCAATTTCATGTTGTGTTTTGTGCTTGTCAAATTTTGACGGCGTTGCCGGGGATTGTCAATCAATAGTGTTCAAAATAGTTTTTGGTGCTAATTCAGGAAGTTTTTTTATTTTATTTTATTTTTCTTTTTTTTTTATTCTTCACGGGTTTCCTCTTCTGTGTGCAGGCAACAGATTGACGTCTCTGGTGTATGACTCGATCTTCTTCAAAGGAATTGATTCCAAATAATTCAGAAGTGGAAAAGAGTCTGCGACAGTTGAAGAAAGAGAAAGAACTCACCGAAAAACATTTGGGGCAACTTTCAACCCCAGAACACATGGCTAAAAATAGTGAAGACGAGGTAGAATTAGTTGTAAGAGAAGTAGCACAATAAGAAGATGCACGAGTAGCAGTTAAGCCAGCCTGTACAACTGCTGATGAGACCGTTAACGATGATGGGGGTCAAATATTCAATCTAAATCGACCCTTGATTGAAGACCAGTTCGAGAATGCGGTACCCAGACCTGGTAGAGCATTGGGTGATTATGACAGACTAGTCTACAATCAGGGACTATCCAGTGTCAGACCTCCGCCAGTAGCAGCAAATAATTTTGAGTTAAAGAAAGGCTTGCTTTAAACTATTCTGAACAATTATATCTTTAGAGGAAAGGTGAATGAGGATCCTAATACTCACTTGATGTATTTTGAGGAAATCATGAACACCTTCCAGTATAACGGAGTGTCGAAAGATGATGTATACTTAAGGGCATTCCCCTTTTCACTGAAGGATGTCGCGAAGCACTGGCTTCGTAGCTTACCAACGGGGTCGATCAGGACATTGAAAGATATGACTAGAAAGTTTCTTGACAAATACTTCTCAGCTGCAAAAATAGTGAAGTTCAGAAGGGAAATTCACAACTTCTGCCAGACGGACACTGAAACAATTTTCGAGGCTTGGGAAAGATTCAAGGAGATATAATAAAGTGTCAGCATAATGGGATTGAATTGTGAATGCAACTCCAAGACTTTTGGGATGGACTGACACCTCCCCCACGACGAACTCTGAACACTGCAGTTGGAGGTCCTTTAATGAAGAAGACTGCTGAGGAGATTGTGAAAATTCTTGATGAGCTATCTGAAGATGCTAACCAGTGGACTGCTGAGAGTAATGATAGAAGAAGATCTGTTGGGGTTCATCAAGTAGATTCAAACACCGCAGTGTGAGTCCAATTAGAAGCCATGGCCAAAGAGATAAGAAAGTTGACCTTAACCAAAGTTCAGAGCCAACCATCACCAGTTTGTGATTTATATGGAATAGCTCATCCAACGCATGAGTGTCAGGTCGCAGCTACATATGAAGTGTTAAATGTTATAGGAAGCTATGATATAGGTAACTACCGGAGTGGTAATAATTTCAATCCTATGGGACAGATGCACCCAGGCTTTTCTTGGAATTCACCAAGTGGTAGCTTGAACTCGTGGCAGCAAAATAATTCTAGACCTCAGGGACAAGGACTCCCTGCTGATACTGAAAGAAATACAAAAGAGACAATAAATGCAGTGTTTTGAGGAGTGGGCATGAGTTGGAGGATCTCATAGCAAAGCTAAAGGATGAGACGGTTGAAAGACAGGTGAAGATTGTGGAGGAATAGAAAATCAACAACATTCAAGAAGGTGAAGTGAGGGTAGATGAGGATTTGAAAAAGAAAGGGAAGATTAAAGCTCAGAAAAAGAAGAAAAATGATAATTCAATAAATAATGAGACTGAAGAGAGCAAATACATGTATGTTCTACCTTTCCCCCCAGAAGCAACGAAGAGAGAAATTGGACAAACAATTCGAGCGCTTTCCAGAAGTGTTCAAGCAGGTGGATATGTGAATATACCTTTCATAGAGGTGCTTTCGCAGATGCCAGCTTATGCCAAATTCATGAAGGAAATATTGTCCAAGAAGCGGAAAGTAGAAAAAACATCGGTTGTCAAGTTGACAAAGCATTTTAGTGCCATCTTACAAGATAAACTCCCTCAAAAATATGGAGATCCAGTAAGTTTTACTATACCTTGCTCTTTAGGAAGTATTAAATTTCAAAAATCTTTGTGTAATTCAGGTGCTTCTATTAATCTTATGCCTTTGTCTATTTTCATGAAATTGGAGGGAGAGATTTGAGAGATCAGGTCGGTACTTGTATCCTTGCAGCTGGCGGATCAGACAACAATCATACCAGAAGGAATAGTGGAAGATGTGCTAGTTCAGGTGGATAAATTTGTGTTCCATGTGGACTTCATTGTGGTGAACATGGAGGAGAATAGGGAGGTTCTGCTGATTTTAGGAAGACCCTTCTTGGCTACGGGCAGAGCAATTCTAGATATTCAGGAAAGGCAGCTCATGCTCAGAGTGGGAGATGAAAGACTGATCTTCAAGATGGAAGGAGAAAGGGCGGCCTTGAAAGAGCAAATTGGAAAGAGTGAAGTTGATAAGTATGGGGTGTACCCAAAGAAGGCGGAAAAGAAGCTCTCAGCATGGATGTGTGCATTGGGTCGGGCATGCAAAGGAGATCCCGACTTCGATTGCGACCCCGGCTAGATGAATCAGGGAAGATTCCTTTACCTCTTGCTTTTTATTTGTGTGCTATGTGAATATGCCACAATTTAAAGTGTGGGGTGGGGATATAAATATGTAAATGTGTGTTTGTTTTCGTTTCTTTTGATTGATTTTATTTTTACTTTTCCCGACAATGGATTTCCTCGGTTTTCTTCTTGAGGGATTAAAAAAATATTTTATTTTTCTTAAGTAGTGTAATAATTGCCCTTGGTTTTTCTTTGTGATGTGGTTCTTTTCCAAGGTTTTTACTTGAACAGGATGTAGTTAATTTTTTTAATTAGGAATAGAGAAGTCTTGTGTTGTGGTGTTAAATAGAGATAACTTATCTTACCTGTGTTGTGCTTTGAGAGCAATAAGTGCTTTAGTTGTGATGCCTAGGCTCAGTTCTTGACTCATGGATAAGTACCTTAATTTGTTTGATCTTGACTTTGCTTAACTTCTTTGACTAGAGAGTAGGGATAGATCTGACCCTGAGTGAGGATTTGTTGATATTCTGTGTATGTCAGTTGATGTCTAGAACTTGTCCCGTGTGTTTGCAAAGCGAAATAGTAGTCTTGTTCAGTCTAGGAAGTGATATAGGTATTTCGTTGTTGAGCCAATTATATGTTTATGGTCCGCCTAATTGTTGTGTATCCTAGTCAGCCATTTGAGCCTATAATCCTACTTCTTTGGTAACCACACTGCAAGCTTGATCCATTTTGTTTGAATTGATTATCTATTTAAACTTTTTACCTCTCTTGAGCACTTGATTTTGTTATGAGCTTGTGAAAGCTAAAGTTGAGGTATGGTCGTGCTTTTGAGGAAAACTATTGAAAAAGGAGAAATGTGCAATGTTTGGAAAAATTATGAGAGCCACTTGTAGGGAATTGAAAGGGAAAAAAAGAGTGAGAGTACTTGGAAAGAAAAAAAAAATAAAACTTTGAAAAGAAAAAAAATTGATTCCTTGTTAGTGGTAGTTCTCATCTTATTTGTGCTTAAAGAAATTGGGAGCTTGATGTTGTTATATTGTGAAGGTTGGGGTTTGGTTCAACATAAGTGTGGGGTTTGAATTGTTAATGTATATGTATTAAAGTACTTAGGGATGTGTAGTCATTGTATCCAAATATATCTGACCCATCCCGCAGCCTACATTACAACCAAAATAAAGTCTTACTTGATCCTTGACTGAATGAGCTCAATTAGTAGAGTATTACACTACGGGCAAGCCTATGGTACATTCTCTGTGGAACGTGAATGTTATTTCTAAGAGTGAGTGAATTCTTTCTATCTTGAGTTCATATTTGTTCCTGAATTTTATGGTGTGTGGAATTACTCTCTATCTTTGGTGTGAGGGCACATGATTTGCGAGGGAAAGGTAATGCCTTTGACCTCTGTATTAGAGTAAGTGAGCGGGTATTTGAAAAATACGTGGTACTTTTGAGCCGAACCTTAAGGCTAAGATGTTACGGTATGGTACTTAGTCTGCTTTAAATATTCTTGGCATGATGAGTTAGGGGACTTATGTGAAAAAGTCGTTCTTATTTGAAGTGTAGTTTGTTGCTCGAGGACGAGCAATGGTCTAAGTGTGGGATGTTGATGGCAGACTAGAAATACGAATTTTTGGCTACTTTGCACCTATTATTTGATATACTTTTATTGTGTTTGAGCTAAAATATGATCAATTTGAACTCATTGCGTATTTTCTGTTGTGTAGGTTCAGATTTCGGGTCAAGACGAATTCTTAGAGCTAAAAGAAAATTAAAAAAGGAATTTTGAAATCTGAGTAGAAGTTCGAGAGTTAAGTCGGAATCGAGTTCGGGTGTCAAGGACCCGGTGCGCATATAAAATAATAGAAGAAAAAGCCAAAAGTGCATTAGAAGCTTAAAGTTCCAACCCCTCTGAAAAGTGGTACTAACACGTGATGTGTTAGGCGTTAGCAAACGATGGGATAACCCCTTTTTTGGCTTCTTATGAGAACAAGGCAGCGTGCGTTCTTTTGGTTAAGCTTCAGAAAAGCTCCACTAACGCGGCTCGTAGTGTGTCACTATGGGCGGCGCACTAATGTAATTTTTCGCCCAGTTAATTCTAACTTGACTCAGAGAGAGTATTGTAGTCCACGTCCATCCATACTCGATATAAATACATTGTAAAAATACTTTTTTATAGGAGATTCGACCTAGGAGAGTTTTGGAGAGCTACCACAGCTTAAAGACACAAGATTTCATCAATTCTCTTGCCAACAATAGGTGCAAAAACTAAAGTTTGTATTGTAATGTTGTCTTTGATGTTTTTTATATTCTTAAACTTATTTGTGACAACTTTTCCATATCTATGGAGTAGTTCTTTCCCTAGGGTTTCAATGGATATGGTATTTTGATTGATATTTGTGGATTTAACTCTAGTTTAATTGTGTGATTATGTTTATGGAGCTTTGAATTGTTTGCAACTTTATTCACCGGTTTATTTAATCGAAAGAAGAATATTTTGGTGATTATCTTTGCATTATTTGGTTTGGTTTAATTTAGTGATTCTTCTAAGTAATCGAGAGAGCTTTTTAAGTTTTTGATTAAACCAAGTTAGGAGAATATTCGAGAGACGTTTTCCTAAAGACTAGTCCATTAACGTATTCTTGCATATCTTCATAGTGCTTCGTATTAGTTTATTCTGTAGAGTTCAGATTTAATCGAGAGAGGAATCTTTAACCTTACGTTTAAGCTAATCATCAAGTGAATTCGTAAATATCATTAGAACATTAAAAGTGAATTTAAATAGAGTTAGATCCCGAATATCTATCGTACACCTATCCTGTTGCAACCCTTAATTCTCATATTGTTTACAACCATTTAGTTCAACTCTCTTCTCTGTGATTAGGTCTAATTACTAGTAATCTTAATTTAGTAGTTAATTATAGTAGTAATCACACGAAATTAAGTGTTGATCATTCTGAATAGCAAATAAGCCAGAAATTACTCGAACATTATTTAAATCTAATCCCTGTGGAGACGATAATTAAACTATATTATCTTTGGTTAGCGAGCATCAATTTCATGTTGTGTTTTGCGCTCGGCAAACACTATCAAGAGTCATATATAAAACCACTTGCGGCGCGCAGCCCCGATCCCACCATATCAATATCAAATCCTTCTTTATTCCACCATATCATAATTTATCAATGACAAGTATTACGTATACAACTGTTGCGCGTGTAACCCGATCCCACTATATCATCATAATCAATATCAAAATCCTCCCTTATTCCACCATATCACAATCGTTGCAGCGTGCAACCCAAATAGTATCAATAAAAGCAATCAATTCAATAGCTAAATTTACAAGAATCGGCACAATTAAGGAATATGAAAGTAAAGCTATAAAGGAACCACGTACTAATCAAAGAAATGCTACAAATAATACAAAAGCAACAAAACAAGCCAAGTATGTGACAGTTAAGGTGTACAAATAAGACAACTAAGGCAAGTAGTAATTAATCATGGAGTCATGGAAGGAACGAATATTTTGATACAAGAATAATTAATGACAAGTAACAAATTACGGCATAGAAAGCGATTAAAGCATGTAGCAGTTAAGACATGGAATGAGATAATTCATAAATTACTAGAAGGCATGTGAACAATTATTTTGACAGCGTATATACACTTGTCACCTCGCATATACACCGCTACACGTAATTCATATAACATATAGTTCAAGAATTCCTAGTTCCCTCATATCAAGGTTAGACCCAACACTTACCTCGCTCCGCAACCAAATCAAAGCTCAATTAGGGCCTGTCCTCTAAAATTCGCCTCCAAACCAATCGAATCTAGCCAAAATCGACTTAATATCAACAAACAATGCTAAAAAATCAATTACAATAGATAAAGCTAAGATCTTTACACTTTTCCCAAAAAGTCAACAAAAGTCAACCTGGGCCCGCCTGGTCAAAATTCGGGTCCAATAATAGATTCCGACTACCCATGACCCCACGAGTTCATATATGTGATTAGTTTCAAAATTCAAGTCCAAATCGACTCTCAAAACTCAATTTCTTACGTATTTTTCAAAAACTTAACAAAGTTTGACAAATTTTCACTTTGATTCATATGATTTTGATGTTAAAATCTAAGATAAGTTGATGGAATGTGATTAGAAATGGATTAGAATCACTCACCCAAAGTTTGTAGATAAAATTCCCTCTTCCAAATCGCCTCTTACCTATCCTAGGGTTCCAAAATATGAAAAATGAGGCTAAAAATAGCGTCTCTCAGCTTTTTGTCCAGGCACAGATGTCGCAAATGCGAAGAAGTTATCGCAAATGTGAACTCCCCGCGTCTCTGCTGTCATCGCAATTGTGATGATTTATTCGTAAATGCGAACATGGACAGGTCGCAAAAGCGATCAAATGATCGCAAATGCGATCCCTGAGTTCCAGGCCATCTTCGCAAATGCGATCATCATAGACTTGGCCATTTGTCGCAAATGCGACCCCTGATCTCGCAATTGCGAGACCTACACACCAGGTCACACCAGCAACTTTCAAAATCTCTGAAACGCATCTTAAACTCACCCGAGCCCTAGGGACTCCAAACCAAACATTCACACAAGTCTAAAACATAATACAAACTCGCTCACGCGATCATAACACCAAAAGTATACCTAGAACTACAAATCAGACATCAAAATGTATGCAATTTTTCAAAGAACTCAAGAACATGCAATTTTAAAATTGGATGTTCGAAACACGTCAAATCAACTCCGTTTTGTACCAAATTTTGCAGACAAGTCATAAATAGTGAAATGAACCTATTTCAAGTTCCGGAATCGATATCCGAACCCGGTAGAAAACAAGTCAACCTGCAGTCAAATTTAGAAATTATTTAAACCTTCAAATTACTAGTTTTCAACAAAACACGTTAATTCAAATTAGGGACTTCCGAATTCGATTCTGGGCATACACCCAAGTTCCAAATCACGATGCGGATCCATCGAGACCGTCAAAACACAGATCCGGGTTCGTTTACACAAAATGTTGACCGTTGACACTCAAATGTATTTTAAGGCAAAATATCATATTTTTCTTAAATTTTTCACATAAAAACTTTCCGGAACAAGACACTGATTGCGCACGCAAATCGAAAAATACTAAACAGGTCTAGTCGAGGTTTCGGAACACGTAATAAAGGTTAGGACTCAAAGTGACGTATCGGGTCATCACAATTGGACACACCTGCATATACATAATATTTCACATCCATTGGCACAAAGATTTTGTCGGACCTGTGCATTTGAAATTCTATCAGTAATTTTTTTGAATACATCTGCTTTGTTACGTTAGTTAGAACCCAATGATATCGCATCCGTAAACCAAGTGAAACTTTTCAAAATGCAGTTTCACGGGAAGGAGTGCTCATACACATAGCATTAAATGGAAGTTACAACAATTTTATTGATTAAAATGACATGAATGTCTGAACTCCTATACTACACAGCAGGATTATTTTCTACAAGCACTAGAGCTCTTATTTCCAGACTTGTAGTTGTATCCTCAGAACCACCTGTTTTACAGTGTTAAAAACTGTGATTGAACAAGGCACCAAAAGAGTGTTGCGTCTTGCTTCAAATGACATCTAGCACTAATGATGACATGAACTACTACAATTTTACAACTACCCCACTTGGGTAGGGAGATGATTGGCTTAAGGAATGGTATGCCCACTGGCCACTGTGGTGGCCCACTACTATCGCAACAGTTACGCAAACGTTGCAATAAAACATCTATGGCAGCGGTTACAACCGTCACATTATCCTCTCAGACCTATTAAGATATGTAATAGAATAAACCGTTGCATTAGGGAAAGAACCGTCGCGGTAGATATATGTGTCGTGACAGTTTCCTTAACCGCTGCAATAGATGCATCTTTGGCAACGGTTCCTAAAAAAAAGGGCTACTGGGA